TTACTAAAATATCGCAGTTTTCGTATTTCTGGAAATTACAGTTATATGGGAAGTGGGCGTGGTTAAAGTCCGATTTCGCCCATTTTCAATACCTACCTTGGATCAAGGGAAACCTACATACCAAATTTCGTTGAGATATCTCAATTTTTGCTTGAGTTATCGTGTACACGGACGGACGGACAGACGGACAGACGGACGGACAGACAGACATGGCTTAATCGATTTCTTTTTTCATCCTGATCATTTATGTATACATTTGTCTATATCTATCTCGATTCGTTCGGCTGTTACAAACAACCGTTATGTGAACAAAATTAATATACCCTTGTGCACAAGTGCGCTCGGGTATAAAAAGACTCCGCCAACATGTAAGAGACTACAAGTAATTTTTAGCAAAAAAAAAACAGACTTCAACTCTCATATAAAAAAATATATATATATATATATATATATAGATATATATATCTCATGATCCACTACCTTTCCGATGCAAAAAGAATTATCGAAATCGGTTGACGTGGTCCAAAGTAACATACATAAAAAAAAACAAAAAAAAAAGATTCCGACGAACTGATAACCTCCTCCTTTTTTGGAAGTCGGTTAATACCAAAAATACACAGAAACCGAGGTCAAATTTTGCTACCCACATGTTTTACAAAAATTTTTGGCCAACGCAAATAAGAAAGGCAGCGAAACTACTGCATGTAGAACATAAAGGCCAACGACTAAACGTACTACAAAATATGGAAATATACAAACTAAAAGCTTTTGACGGCAAAATAACAAACGAACGAACAAATACCGCATCGGATGTTATATTCGAATCCTTAAAATTGATTTACGAAAAAAAGAAAAATGCCAATAAAACGACAGGCATGCACACTCCGAACACCCCAAAAGTACCACCAGGACAAAAATCACCGACTTTTACCGACCTGAAGGTAAAAACCATACAGCGACAACATAACGGATGCTAATATCGAGTTTCGCTGCCTCGATATTAGCATGAACCTAATACCTGCTTCTAAAAAAAAAAGGGCAACACGGTATATCTAATAATTAATCATTGACGAAAATCACATTACCTAAGATAAATGAACATAAGTTAAGGACAAAAACTCGAACCAGACAGAGAGAAAAATGACGCTGAAGATGGCACAACGCCGAAACCGGTTTGTCTGCAAACCAAGCTTGACAAGGTATGACGGAAATTTGTTCCAAAACAAATCATCTTAA